GCAAGACAGGGTGTGGGAACAACACAGAGGAAGAGAAAAAGGGGCAGAGTAGGTACTTCCCAAGTAAGGCGCCCTCACATGTCATGTTTGGGCTCAGCAAAAGCCTCCTCCCCTAGACTCCCAGGACCACTTTGCATCTCCATCACATTACCTAATACTTCTCTAGGTCAGCCCTGCATCCGTGGCCTCCTGTGCTCTCCTAGGAGCCTGAAGGCCCCCGCAGAAAAGGGACTGCGGATGCTCATCTCTGAGTCCAAATCCTGGCTTGGCACCTGGCATGCTGTTGGTGTGCTAGAAACGTTTGTGGCATTGAGCCTGCTGAAGCGGGGCTAGTAACCAGACTCGGTGAAATTTGCTGTTGCCTTACAGGCAAGGAAGCATTAGGAAAGCGTATACCCCCAGGGGCTGTGTCCTAGTTGGGAATCCCCCAGAAACAGACTCTAAGACAAGGATTCAAGTGCGAGCAGTTCATTTGGGCAGCAAAAGAAACACTGGTAGGAGAAAGAGGAAATATGTAGAGAAAGAAAGGCAGTCAGCAATGAGTATCTTAGCTAGTATAAGAACTCTAGCCCACTGGAAAAGCTCCCAGCGCCCGTGTGGAACATGCACTAGAGGGATGAGGGAGCGGGGGCCACACACAACAACTCCCATCAACTGTTGGGTGAGGACTTCTGAGGAAGGCATGGCCATTCCCCATCCTTTGGGCCCCCTTTATGAGTAGCAAAGCAGGCTGTAGCAGGGGGAGAATGCTCTTAGCCAAAATGCAGGTGGCTGCAGTTGGAAGTCAGGCAGGTGTGCTGTGAAGTGGTAAGGACAAGGCAGGGGTTCCCAACCTTTTTCATGCAGCAGAATCACCAGGTAAAACACAAGACAATGAGCCCTACTCCCAGAGCTCAGCAGGTAGGGATGCAAAAATGTGCATCTCTAATGAGTTCCCAGGGACCACTGCTGCTACTGGTCTGGAACCACACCTTGAGAACCACCAGGCTCAGGATATAGGCAGGGCCCTGACTGAATACCTGGGAGAAATCCAGTACCTAGGCCTGGTAGAGCTTAGAAACAAAGCCAAAGAAGTGAGCTACACCTCTGTTTTGCCCTCTGCAAGAAAACTCTCCCCACCTCACTCAAAGCCTGTGTGTGGGAGTTAAATGCCAATAAACTTAGGACCATGCAGCCGACTTCTCTGCACCTGCTGTGGCCAAGGTTAAGGCCACTCCCTCACAGCATCGTTAGGATGCCACCTCCCTGTGAGTCCCATCCTGCTATTTTTCTTTGGATGTGACCTGACAAACTTAGGTCCCAGGGGCAAAGAGCACAAAGAAACAAATAATCCCGAAGGGATCCAGGTTTTGGTTATGTAGTCAAATCCAGCTGGAGATAAGCCAAGCTCAGGAAGTTGCTCCTCCTGATCTGATGCTCTCCTGCCAAGCCTCAGTCAGAATCCTGATGTAGCGACCTTGAGATCCTCCTCTTCTACTCTGGCAAGGGCAAATCCTCCAGAAGCCACCCCTAAAATCATTATTTTTTATCACCTGACACTCATTCAACAGCTGTGGTCACCAGAAAAATAACAGATGCCCTGTCCTGTGCTGCTTATTTACAATAAGAGCACAAGCTTGCAGGGAACAGGGGGTGCTTATTTCACAATACTGAATTTCCACTTGAAACCTACACCATCAGTTTCACAATTACAAAAACCACTCATGACCTCTTAAGAGATGAGCAGGACAAGGCAGGGAGACACAGATAACAAATTTACCCTTCACGGGAGCAGAGGCGTCCTCATTTATCTTTTACAGTGATCACCCCTAGCAAAGAGTATGACAAAGCCACATCCACACACTTCCATTTTGAGACGAGGTCACTGCTACAAAAGCCAAGGTATTAGGCCTCAGAGCACTGCAGCTTTCTGTACCTGCCCGGTTCAGGAGGTCGGTCACTATGGAATGCTGAGGTTAACACTTCTTAGGAGGCTCTGCAATTAGCTGCGGTCCAGAGCTTCATGGTGAAGGCAAGAAAAGCTTCTCCCTTTCACAAATCAGAACATTTTTCCAGCTTTCCCAATGGGTTGCCAAGTGACTCAGCATTGGCCCAGTGTGGGCACTATTACTGATGAGAAATCTTCCGCCTGGGTGATATACTGCAGACAACACATGCCCAAAGAACAGTGCCAAGTCATACCAGGAAGAGCAGGCCAGTTATTCACCTCCACTTCAAATGCAGGCAAATCCTTTTCTTAATGCAGGGGCTACTCAGTATCAGAAAGACAAAGCCCTAAGATAGTGAGAGATTTCCATCTAAGATTCAAGGAATTATTAGGCAGAGTCTCTCCTTTCTTGTTGACTATTAAAAGGCAATCAAATCGAGGACAGCAGAGAAAAAGGGCAAGAAAAAATTTTTTTTTCAAAAACAACCCCGGAGTAGAAAGCTGCATAAAAGCTTTCAATGCCGCAAGTGTTCTTTGTGAGTACCACGAGCTCCACCCAGAGGTCATTTTCAGAACTGCATGTTCATTTAATTTTCAAAAAAAAAAAAAAAAAAAAAAATTTATATCTTCTGGGGGTCCCGGGAAGGACCCACTTCAGAGAACTGCTGAAATTGCTTCGACAACATCCATCTTTCTTGCATTTCGTTAAAGAAACTTCTCTGAACTCTGAAATGCAAGATATAGTCGGGGAACTTTGTGAGATCTAATTTGCCTTTGATATTTGTACCTGTCGTGGAACTAGCAGAGTTCCTGGCAGGTTGAACTCAACTCAAAGAAAGTAGAGTGTTCAAAGAGCGCTTTTAGAAGAAAAACTGACAGCTCTCATTGAAATAAAACAGAAGACTGGAGAGCAACTCGGGAGGCAAACAGGAACATGTCTAATATTAGAAGAACTGAGAATAGTCCTGCTTCAAGAAGGACCCACGGGCCACTTGCCGAGAAGGGCCAACTGTGAGGCACCCACTCCCTTATGCAACTCAGAAGAACTCCCTGAGGCAACTGCAATCCATACTGCTCAAAGAACTGACTTCCCAGAACATTCCCCTGGCATCCAGCTATTCATAACACGTTACCCCCAACACGCATACATACACATACACTCCACCCCACCCTCCACCCTGGTGGTCCTGTACTAATTCATGCAAGCACCTATTCGGTCCACGTGAGGTCAGGCGAGGACAAAGAGCCCTTAATACTAAGCGCTCAACTGCCCAGGGCAAGACACATCCTGTTCCACAGCCAGCTTGTGGTAACAAGTTAGCTCAGCAAATAAATGAAGCCTTCATAAAACAACAATATGTTGGTGTTGAAAGTTGTCCACTATCTGGAGAGTTTTCCATCACAGCCCATGTGCTCTTGCCTTCATCAGCTTGTGCCTTATGTGACTGAAGGCAGCTTTGACAGATTTTTGAAGGGGAAACAAAAAATCAAAACTACCCTTTGTCTTCCTCCAACACTGCCTTGCCACCTACCATCCCAGTTCTTCCTTCATTATAAACACTGAACAAACAGCCTTTTCACATCTATTGACAAAAGTATCTATGGCAATGTTTATCCATCTCCAGTACCATGAGTTTAAAGCACTAGAAAATATCCTTGCTAAACCTCTACGTGTTCTCATTTCAACAAGGTTAAGCATTCCCAGAACGCTGCCCCCTTTATTTCTTGACCATAAGGCAAAAGTATTTGTGCTCAGTATGACTCAATATGACCCCAAGCAGTGTTTCCCCAGACCTGCCTAGTGATAACAATCACCTGGAGACTGGCTAAACTGACAGATGTTCAGCCTGCATCCATGATCCATTAACCCAGGCCTTGCTGGGAAGGGGCCCAGAAAGCCAGAGCGTCCAGGCAACCCAGGTGATTGCTATACTCAGGAAGCTTTCTAAAATACCTCTAGATACAAGAAACGCTCCTCATTTCAGAATCTCTCAGCTGCAGAGTAGCATCCATCAAGAGTCTAGCAGGTGTGCTCTACCCACTTGAATTCCAGCTCTATCAGAATCTCTCGAATTCAAAATGCGTCCCATTCATTCATTTATTCAGAGACGGAGTCTCACTCTGTCACCCAGGCTGGAGTGCAGTGGCACGATCTCAACTCGCTGCAACCTCTGCCTCCTAGGCTCAAACAATTCTCCCGCCTCAGCCTCCAGAGTAGCTGGGACTACAGACGCATGCGCCACCACGCCCAACTAATTTTTTGTATTTTTAGTAGAGATGGGGTTTCGCCATGTTGGCCAGGCTGGTCTCAAACTCCTGACCTCAAGTGATCCACCTGCCTCAGCCTCCCAACGTCCTGGGATTACAGGCATGAGCCAGTGCGCCCAGCCCGTTTTCTACTTTTAAACAGCATGGCTGTCAATACTTTTCTCCTTTAATCCCTTATTGTGTTGCACAGTATCAGAAAATTTTACAAGGCCCAGCAAGTGTCCACTTCTATTAGGAAATACTTTTGTAGTCCTAAGCAATGGTAGAACACTGGTCTACAGTCTAGAAGTATACTATTTGGGTCATTTGTGCCAAATGATGGGTCAGGGAGGAGATATGCTTGGTTACAGGAAAGGATTTGCCCCAGGACATTTGCACGCATCATGCACAGAGCAGAAGGACATGTGACCAATATGGGTTTTCTTCTTCTTGGTGTCTTAGGGGCTCTTCTTCCAGCTGCTCCCTGTGACTCCCCACTGCTCTGCATTCTGCCATATCCAGTGATGGTTTATGACACAATTCAGCAGGCAGCAAGCCATGTGCCTCTTACAGACGGCAATTAGGAGAAAGGAAAGGCAGAATTACAAGGTATTTGAAAATGCAGTTCGAAAAATTCCAATATTATCTTCTCTTACCTCTTGGTGAAAAAAAAAATCTATGTATTCATCCAAAAGCAGACAGCTAACTCTGGGGTCATTCAGAGTCAACAGTTCAGTCAATATAAAAACCAACTATACAGTCAATGTCAAGGATGAAAATCCATTAAACCAGAAGTCTTATTGTTTTCATCAAAAGGAATCCTTACCTTTTCTTTGGCTTTCCTTTTCGTTCCTGCATCCATCCACTCATTTTCTTTCTCTAGCATGTCAATAAAGGCCCAGCGAACGCCCTCAATCAATTCCTCCATCTACAAGAAAATACCCAAAGAGGAAACGTCAAAGCCAAGAAGCTTCAGTCGAGGTTGTCTGGAACAAAATTGGCTTGCATGAGAAATGACTCAATACTCAACATGGTAAGTAAGGGGTTCCTTCAGCTTGACTCCATGCTCTGGCAACACTTCTTTTTCCAGGAAAATTCCCTTTTTTCCACCACTAAAATATAACTAACCAGGCCCAGCACGGTGGCTCATGCCTGTAATCCCAACACTTTGGGAGGCCAAGGCAGGTGGATCACTTGAGCCCAGGAGTTCGAGACCAGCACAGGCAACATGGTGAAACCCCATCTCTATCAAAAATATAAAAATTAGCTGGGCATGGTGGCTCATGCCTGCAATCACAGGACTTTGAGGCTGAGGTGAATGTTTCACTTGGGCCCAGGGGTTCAAGACCAACATGGGCAACATGGCAAAATCCCATCTCTACAAAAAATATAAAAATTAGCTGGGTGTAGTGGCAAATGCCTGTAGTCCCAGCCACTCAGGAAGCTGAGGTGGGAGGATTGCTTGAGCCCAAGAGGTAGAGGTTGTAGTGAGCCATGACCGCACCACTGTACTCCAGCCTGGGCAACAAAGCAAGACCTGTCTCCAGAAATAAATAAATAAATAAATAAGATGATAACCATTTCTTTCCACGAGAATAATGTGATGGCCCAGCCGTAAAATGAATTATACAGGTATACAGGGACAGGAATTCACCATAGATTATGACAAACCAATAACTTACCTGTCTGTAGCTACTAAGCTGGTTCATCCTTATCAAAGTACTAACTAATTTTAATCATTTAATAAAGGACTGAGAGAGACAGGCAAAGGCATGGGCTGTGCATTTCAGATAGGTATTGCAGAAGAAAGCGAACAGTTGAAGGAGATAACTGTCAACACAGAGAAACGGGCAGGAAGAGTGAGCACCCCAAAGGACACTTCACCAATATGAATCACACTTATGTCAGGACCCCAGTTCTTTCCAAATTTAGTTCCGTGGGTTAAAATAAATGTTCGGCTGTGCTATATCATCTTCCTACTCTCCTCTCTACTCCTTGGCAGCTCAGAAAACTCTTGTTATTTCAAATTTAAAAGTGTAGGTATAGGCCAGGAGCAGTGACTCACCCCTATAATCTCAGGACTTTGGGAGGCCGAAGTGGGAGGATTACTTGAGGCCAGGAGTTCGAGACCAGCCTGGGCAACACAAGAAGACCTCATCTCTATAAAAACAAAATTATTTTTAAAAGGCTGGGCATGGTGGCGCCTGCACCTATAGTCCTAGCAACTCAGGAGGCTGAGGCAGGAAGATCACTTGAGCTCAGGAGTTTGAGGCTGCAGTGAGCTATGATTGCACAACTATACTTCAGCCTGGGTGACAGAGGGAGACCTTGTCTCTAAAAAAATAATGAAATAAAATGGTAGGCCTAAAGGGGACTGCTACAGAAAGGTGGTCTTCTGAAAGACCTCTTGCAAAGCATTTGAACAGTGAGGCCACACTCATAGTGAGGATGTGTGTGCCTGGCTTTGCTGCCAGTGTCTGTGGACCAAAAGAGAGGACTAGAGGCAAGGAGCTGCTGACATGTCACATTAGAGGCCACCTGCAGGCCCTGCCTGCTCATGGATGCGAACCCCTCAAAACCCAGTTCTCCTGCAGAGATGCTTTGGCTTTCTCAATGGGACACCCAAGAAAGAAAAAATACTGGGTTTCGCCCCAGAATGAACTTTTTCATTTGAGCGTATGGTGTTGTCAATCAATTGTTAACATTAATTCTAGAAGAAAAGACGTGGAAATGTTTCCTTGCTTCTATAATAGTCAGCACTAAGCTTAAAATAATGTTTTTCTGTTTAATAAGTTTTCAGCTATGTTTTCAGTTCAATAACAGTTGTGAGGGAACCAGAGCTATAAATCAGTGGGCTGGGTTCCATCATATGTAAATAAGAACAAACAGCAGATGGAAGGGGGTCGGAGGAGCTTCACAGCTATTTCTTCCCAACTTGGCAAAAACATTAAAAGAAGAGAAACTTCAACTTGGGATAAAACACAAACTGTTAGAAGAGCAAAGAGCAAAAGGTCCTTTAAAACTCATTAAGTCAGTGGTTCTTAACTTTGCCTGCCCATTAGAATCTTTGGAGGAACTTTAAAAAAATACCGACAGCTGGGCGTAGTCACTCACGCCTGTGATCCCAGCACTTTGGGAGGCCAAGGCGGGCGAATCACTTGAGGTCAGGAGTTCGAGACCAGCCTGGCCAACAGGGTGAAACCCTGGCTCTACTAAAAATACAAAAAAAATAGCTGGGTATAGTGGCAGGCATCTGTAATTCCAGCTACTTGGGAGGCTGAGGCAGGAGAATCGCTGGAATCTGGGAGGCGGAGGTTGCAGTGAGCCAAGATCGCACCACTGCACTCCAGTCTGGGTGACAGAGCAAGACTCCATCTCAAACGAAAAAAAAAAAAAAAGAAAATACTGACAAAAAAATTTCTAAATAAAATAAAAAATCCTGAGACCTGGGCATCGGGATGCTAGTATCATTGTTCTGAGGTCCAGCCTGGGCACTGGGAGGGTTTAAAAAGCTCCCCAGGTAATTCTAATGTGCAGTCAGGGCTGGGACCCACTGGACCAGGGGAAACCATTTATTTGACAGATAAGGAAACTAAGGATCAAGGAGTCTATGATCTGCTCAAGCTCATACAGCTAATGAGGACCAAAGCCAGGACCTGAACAAAGAGCTAAAATAACAGTAGAGAGCTCAGAGCCTCTAGTAGAAACAGAGGATTCCTCCCAAAATCAGAGAGAAATGCCAGGGGGTAAAAGGGAATCAACTGAGACATGTAGAAGTTACCATTTCAAACAGAAGACCCACGTCAGGAGGATATTAAAATGACAAGGAAATCTCCAGGAACTAGATCTTTTGCCTATTGGCAAGCCTAAGTCTTTTTTTTTTTGAGACGGAGTCTGACTCTGTCGTTCAGGCTGGCTCACTACTCACTGCAACCACCACCTCCCAGGTTCAAGCGATTCTCCTGCCTCAGCCTCCCAAGCAGCTGAGATCATAGACACGCACCACCATGCCAGCTAATTTTTGTGTATTTTTAGTAGAGACAGGATTTCACCATATTGCCCAGGCTGGTCTTTAACCCCTGAGCTCAGATGATCCACCCGCCTCAGCCTCCCAAAGTGCTGGGATTACAGACATGAGCCACCGTGCCTGGCCCTAAGTCTTTAGGACCTCACCATGTAGCAACATGCATTGGCTGGCCCAACAAGATAAATTCTATCTTCCCAAATTAGGGAGGGGCAATGGGGAGGAAAAGAAGTGGGTGGACTCAAAGGAGAGATTTAGTGACCAAACCAATGGAAACAGGTGATTCATTTTATGTGGGAAAATGAGGAAAGTAGAGTCAGATTCATTCCTAGGCTTCAGAAGGGTATGGGCAACCACCGCCATTCAATAAGACTGAGAAAGCTGGAAGAAAAAGAGGGATGGGGACAGAAGCCAAACTAGTGGGATGAAGAGTGTATGGGAAGCGAAGACGGCAAGTCTGCTCAAATTAACTGAGTTTGTCTATGAAGGAGAAAAAGCAAAGATAGGAGAGAAGGAGATGTAGGGTTAAGGGAAGGGTCTGAGGGTTTGGAGTTTGGGTTTCATGCATATGCTTGCTGATGCTGCCACTACTGTTGTTGTTGTTGTTGAACAGCTGCGAGATTTGACTATGTTTAAATACCAATAGAAAGGATCCAGCGAAAAGGAAGAGACTGAAAATATGGGACAAAGAAAGCCATGAGTGGTGTCTCAGAGGGCAAAAGAGGTGATAGGATCCAGAGACTATATGGAAGGATTCACCTTACACATGAGACAGACACTTATGAGAGGAGAGAAGATTAAAATGATAGACAGGCATGCAGAAGAATCTAAGATTAGATGTAGAACGTTGAGAGTCCTGGTATAAAGGTGGGTCTTTTCTCCATGGAATAGGATTGAGACCTTCTGCTTCAAGGGAGGTTTCTCTAAAAAATTACATTTCTTCACACATGTGCATCCTGGCAGCATGAACATATTACTAGGAAGAGAGGTACAGTAGTAGCCCCTTATTCACGATTTTGCTTTCCATAGTTTCAGTTACCTGTGGGCAACTGTGGTCTGAAAATATTAAATGGAAAATTTCAGAAATAAACAACTCATAAGTTTTAAATTGCACACCATTCTGATTAGTGTGATGAAGTTTCACGCCATCCCAACCTGTCTGGCCCGGGATGTGAATCACCCTTCATTTGTCCAGCATCTCCATCCTGTATATACCCACCCAATAGTCACTTGCTAGGTATCTTGGTTATCAGACAGATCATAGGAAGTACAAGCATGAGTTCAGTACCATAAGATACTCTGAGAGAAAGAGAGACCACATTCACATAACTTTTATTACAGTATATCATTATAACTGTTCTATTTTATTATTAGTTATTGGTGTTAATCTCTTACTGTGCCTACTTTATAAATTAAACTTTATGATAGTTATATATGTGTAGGAAAAACATAGTATATATAGAGTTTGGTACTATCTCCAGTCTCATCCACTGGGCTGGGCAGCGGGGTCTTGTAAAGTATCTGTCTCAGATAATGGGGGATTACTATATATACAGATAGGGACAAAGAGGACAATAAAAGGTTCCCTCTCAATACCCTGGCCAGGATGTAGCAATAATAGAAAGCACCCAATAAATAATAAAAGATTGAACATGTCCAAAGAAAATATTTATTTGGGATAAGGTATACAAAAGCAAAATATTTTATTATGTTTTAAAATAAATTAATTCATCAAAAAAAAAAGCACTCTCCAAGCTAAAAAGATCTTTGGCAAATTTTGGAATTTTTGGATTCCTATGATGAATCTTAAGGTCATTTTGCTCCTGTTCTCTTTGGGACATTTTTATGGAGTATGTGGTTATTACTAAAATGGGGCTGAGTGTTTCTAGATACTTCTCTCTAAG